ATAAATACTAAACTAAAGCCAAGAACACTAACAGGTGTTGTAGTGGTTGTAGGGACTATTGGTCCGGCAGTGTGACGTCTTAAACGTCGCGAAGAAGGTGGACGTCGACGGGGTGCTTTAGCTCGAGAAGCTGTTAAGTGCGAAAGCGGTGCTCCTTCTCCTCGTTCTACCCCATCTAATTCTTCACCCAAAGCTACATTAGTATTTCCATTACCGTTGTTCGTTCCTGCATCACCTACGAGACGTTTTAAATTCGATATGATTGCATGACTGCCTATACTTTTTCTATCTGCACTATTTCCTCCAACTCCTGAAGCAGTTGATGTTGTAGAAGGTCCTGTTATTGATATGGTTTTCTTAGTTGTATCTATAATTAAACATAACAAATTCAGCAATTTGCAATACAATAAACCAATTTACTTATTTATAATATTACATAAATTTTGTTAAATCATATAAATAAAAAATTAAATACCTGCATGTACATTTCGTACATCCAAACTTTTTCTAGTATGTGCTTTTCCATTCTTCTTTATTTGATGAGGATGTTTCGTAGCTGTTTTCATAGAATTTTCATGTTTTTGATCATGGTCTTGATGGTCAGCTGCAGCATTTATTACTTCAACAAAATTGTCAGGAAATAGACCCACTTGACCATCCAATTCTCCTATCCACCAACCCTACAAATTACTTCATATTCACTGATAATGTCCTCAAATTATGGTTTCAAACTTATTTATAAGAAAAATGTATTTAATACTGTAACACTTATTTGAATTGTATGTACCTTATCGGGGGCATTTCTAGAAAGAAGTGTTATTATATCTCCTTCATTCAATGTTAATTCATCTACATTAGCAGCTTCATAAGGAAAAAGTACTTTACATATTTCTTTTTTATCTGGATCTTTATGTTTGTCAGAATCTTCGTACACTGGAGGAGATACAAAATTTGAGGGAAAGACTCCAACCTTGCCCTTAAGTCTACCTCTCCACCATCCTTCTTCTGCTTCACCCAAAAATTCTATAGAATCTTGAGGTACTAAAGTTAATTCATCTTTATTACAAGGTTCATACTTAAAAAGTACTTCACAAAATCGTCTTCTGGATCCTCCATTTTTTAATGAAACTTCTTCTGGTTTAGCATTAGTAGCTGTTTCACTGCTTCCACTTCCTATACTTCCAACTGTTCCACTTGATACAGGTTCTAATACCTGCATTTGATTATAATTTGTTTTTGTTATTTAATATATATAAACTTACATAAACATTATATTAGTACCTTTCTCATAATATATAAAATTTATGTAAGTAAATTTCATCTTTTAAATATACTGCTATCAGATTAAGAAAACAGTTCACATTTAAAAAATTAAAGTTTACCTTAACAAAATTATCAGGAAACATGCCACGTTTATCTCTTAAAGTTCCTTCCCACCACCCACCTAACATTACTTTAATCTCTGTGATTTTATCTCCTTTTTTTAAAGTTAATTCATCAGGTTCTTGTGCTTCATAGTTATATTCTACAATTGCCTCCATTTTTTTTATACTAATAATAGTTGAAATTTTCTAACATGTAAATATCACAACTTTGTATCTGTAATAAATATATACTAATTTACACTAAAAACACTAACAATAACTAAATTTACATATATGTGAATAAACAGAACACATAAATGACATATAAATGACAGGACACAAGCTTTTAGATTAAGTCACATTTTTTAAACAAATGTTTTATAAATTAATTTATTTACGTAAGTATTTCAATATAAAACCTTTAATCGTTTTCCTTGTAGTGAGTCTCTGTTTTAAACGAACAAATTACTCTTCGTAAAAAAACAGACTGAACACAAAACGTAGCATACGTATGAGTTAAGATAAGTTGCGCATTTGTAAAAGTCATTTGTTCCTCGCGCATCTTCCACCTTTCATATCACTGTACGAACTTATTATATTCATTTTACTATAATGTCTAAGAGGTATGTTGTTAAAAACTGAAAATTTAGGCGTATCCCATATTCGGTTAACAGCTCGATATATCTGTCATCGCGGCCATCTTGGACTCTAAACTCGAGTGAACTTCAAGATGCAATTTATGTGTAAGGTGCGCATGTAACCTATTGCTGACTCAAAGAACGCGCCAAACGTAATTCGTGATTCATTTTAACTGTATGTATAAAGCCTGTCAATAAATGCTACTCCAGAAGATCCTCAAGATCGTATGAACGCATTGATGATTCATGAAAGAGGATTGATTGTGGACTGACTTATAAGTACTGCTTTATATGTGTACATCGTTAATCTATATTTATAATAAACTTACTTTAGAAAAATGTAAGTTACACACCAATATTTACACACAGCATTTGCATCAGAAATATTCGATGTTGTATGTTTGAGTTGAGTATGTTTTAAAAAAACGCTTTCCAGTCTGGAAAGTCTTGCGATTTATCGTTTATATTTAAATGACTGATTCATACTAATCGTTCACTTCTTATCATAAAGACCCCCGTGTATCGGTAATGCGCAAACAAACAAAGTTTTCGAGTACCTAATGTTTTGAATTACAATTCACGAGGTTATTTCATAAAACGTTTCATAATAATATTATCTGATATAGAAATTAAAAAATGCGATTCAACACACGCAAAATTAAACTTTATTTCTAAAACGAACTTTTTTGAAACGTTAAATACAATATTCAATATAGGTAATTAAGAAAATTCTCAATCATAAATAATATGTATGCATCTTTATATATTATCGATTGATACATCAAATCATACAGTTATTTCAGTGGGTGATTCTACATGAAACAATAAGTCGAAAATGTAGAACGAATTTTTTTCATAAAAGGCTTAGCTTTCGAGAAAATTTCACTGAAGTATTCTTTACAAACTACATACATATGTACATACTACGCCCGCTCCTAATTTTACTTATGTCGCTAAACAACGGTAATGTCACATTTCGTAAAGAAATAATCTATGCAGAAAATACTTTCGAACAATTGAAGCGTCAAAATACCGCATCATTAGTCCACTATTCCGATTTAAAGAGTAAGGATTTGTATGTGTTAACACGAACGTCACTTCTAATAATTCATTCAGTAATGTAAATTTAAACGAAGGAAATCGTTAATAAATGTATTATCATGTAATCAGTACTGATCATGACATTGGCATCGCTTAATAGTGCCAACATAAGTCGAGACAGACAAGTGCACACGTACTCAGAAAATATTCAAAGTCAACTTTCTCGAAACCAATCCTCAAATGAAAGAAATTCATTCTACTTTTCGATTTATTTTTTCATGTAGAATCACCCCCTTCCTCAGTTGTACCATCACTATTGGGACACCCTGTATACGTACACTTAAATGTAAGCCATTCGGCAATATTTCGGCTTTGTTTAAAAATAATACTTCGATCTTGAGCTCATTTTAAAGCTAAAGAAATACTCTTTTCGAATATTTATATCAAATTGTATTTATTACTAACAAATACAACAATAATCGATGCTAATGTTTCAACTGCTGATTTCACGCTGTTCCTATCCATAGATCAGTTTGAAAAAAAAAATACCATTGGATTCTTTAAACTTTAACCTGTAAAATAAGCTTTTCAAAATGATAGAGAGATTTCGGGAACAGTGGAGAAAAAAATAAAATTTACCATAATGCACCTCATCCTGTACCGTGCAGACACCACAAACTGTCAAACAGTTGTCGCGCGTTTGCACTACGTACAACGTATCACTTCTCTAACAATAAAATAAACATTCCACTCGAACGCTATTGGAATTTGTATGTTTATCCCGTATCGTAACGCATGGAAATTAATTTATGCACAAATTTATAAACTAATACCCTTGATTGGTATTTTTGAAATCCGACGGGCTTAAATTCCGGAATAACTTTGACCATATTAATCAACATTTTCTTTCATTTTTTCCTGAAGGAGAAGCTTCCATCTTTACCAGAAAGGTAAATGATATTTAACCATCAAGCGAAATATAGTATTAGCATGAGTTTTCAGTTATTTCTACTACGATAACAACAAAAAAAGGAGTTGCCGTTCAGTTAAGACAACGTACATATAATTGGTACGTTATTTTCAGCAAACAGTCAAAACGATAATGTTTTAGTTTAACACA